CATCCATCTGACTCAATCCCCTCTCTTTTGTAAAAACCGACCAGAGACCCTGATGGCCGGTAAACTCAGTATGGCAAGGGTGCGTCCACCACTCCAAGAATGGCTAGAGCCAGCTATGGTCTGTGCTAGGTGATCAAGGTAAATTTCTGCAAATCAAAGAGTACCTCATTTACCATCAGTCACAAACAGGACACTGTTCTTAACTTTATTTTATTTTAATATTAATATTTTTTAATCCTCACCCGAGGCTATTTTTTCCATTGTTTTTCACAGAAGGTGGAAAGGAGAGAAACAGAGAGGGAGAAACATCAATGTGAGAGAGACACATGGACTGGTTGCCTCCCGCACGAGTCCCAACCAGGGCCGGGGATCAAACCTACAAGCGAGGTACGTGCCCTTGGCTGGAATCAAACCCAGGACCCTTCAGTTCGCAGGCTGATGCTCTAACCACTGAGCCAAACCAGCTAGGGCTCTAATTTTATTTTTTTAATGACTAAATTCAGTTGTTTCAGAATTATATACCCAGAACAGAGGAACACTGAACTGAAGCTTAAAGTCAGAATAATTTCTGCCCCACCATTTGAGAATGTTACTTGCGTTATATAGCTGTTTTTATTCAACATTTATAGAAAAATAAGAGTATATTACACTAGAAAAAGCAAAAGAAATACCTTAATAACCTAAAAGAATTAAAAATTGCCATGTTTATCTATTTCTATAATTGAAATACTGAAACCTATAATAGGACATATGCTTCTTGAAAGAAAGATGCAAATAGATGCAGCTTGCTGGAAGCCCTTGACACACAAATTGTACAATAAGAGGCTTGGGTGTGGCCTTAGGAGTCAAACCAGCTCCTGAGTAGCTTAGCTTTACGATTTACTAGCGGTGTGACTTTGGACACAGCCTCAAGAATCTCATTATAAAATGAGACTTACTGGGGTCAGGTGAGAGAATGTGTGTACATTGGCAACTTAGTAAAAGGCTTGGCACAGGATACACCCTCAATAAATGAAAACCAGAGTTATTAGGATTGTTATTATTAGTGCAAAATAAGTATTTGCTGAATGAATGATTTAAGTATCAATTAGTGACAGACACGACCTAGGGTAGAAATATTACATGGCTCTGAAATAAAACGCACAGCTGCCACAAGATGAGAGGGGTAAGAATGTGAAGCTTTTGAGACATTAAGATTTTAAAATTGTAAGATAGGCATTTATACATAAGCAACGTATTCCAGACAAGAATCACTTCTGATGAAACTATTTACTTACCTTCCTTGTCACTGGAAGTCTGGTGACTGGGGAAAAATGCAGTTGACTGTACCCGGGCACTGACATTTATGTTATTGGTTTTTAATGCAGCCATAGTCTGATTAACCTATGAAATAACCAAAAGGAGAATATTAGGATATTCTGAACTAACTCTAGAAATCCACAGCTAAGTCCTTAATCCATTTAAGATCCAGGAAGAAGTATTTCTTCAGCAGACATCAGAAGATGAGAGATGGCTGCACATTTAGAGAAAGGCTGAGCAGCAGCCACAGCATTTCGGGATGATCTCAATACACTTCCTAAGGTCTACACAATAGAGAGCACTGACTCCGGAACCAGGCTGCTTGGGTTTGCTCTGTGACCAGGGGCTAATTATTTAACCTCTCAGTGAAATGGGGATAAAAACAGTACCTAGCTCACAGGATTGTTATAAAGATTAAATGAGTTAATATATAGGGTGGGGCAAAAGTAGGTTTACAGTTGTTTGTACAGAAAATAATACAGTAATTAATAAACCTACTTTTGCACCACCTTGTATGTAAGACCCTTAGAATAGAACCTGGCATAAAGTTTCTATGTAATAATTCTCTAAATAAAATAAGTAATGTAAATTTCCTAAATCCTAGGAATTTAAGAAAGGAAACCCAATAAACTTCACTTTGCTATTCATGTCGTTATCATTTGTTAAGAGCAAAAACTAAATGTCAAGATTCTATTCAGTACTTACACTCATTCTTCATCTACCAAAGACTAATACTAAGGCGAATGAAAAGTGAAACATAGGGGCACTTTTAAACTATTTTCACTACTCTGTACATTAGGAGACTGATTAATTTTACCAGGCTCATTTCCATTCTCCCAGGTTCCTAATATGCCCAGTAACATATGACACACAAGCAGGCTTTACACAAAATGGAAGACAGAAGATAGAAGAGAATCCTAGGCATCAGTACTGTAACTACTGGTGTCACTGGCTTGCTAAAACTACATCAGCAATAGCTGATGAGATTCTTAATCAATGCCCAAGTACACTACATCCTTAGCCCGGTGGCTTTCAAAGTATTTTTTGTGTTGTTGTCTTTTTAGCCACAACCCACAGTAAGAAATACACAGCAACCCAGTACTCAAACACATATATAAATATGTTTCATAGAGTCATACTTAATACTTGCCCTAACTTTGTTAAATTTTAATACATCCTATCCTATCTATCC